CGTGGCCTGCGTCCTACTTGGACCGAGCCCAACCTACTCGCCGTCACTCTGGGTTTCGAATACCCCCAGCTGGCCGAGTACACGTTGGTCAACGTCGACGACCGCAACAACGTCCTTTTCCACGGCAGGTAAAAGCCACTGAGCATACGGTGTTTGGCATGGTGATATTGCATTTGTTTAAGGGCGTTGTCGGTACATGCGAACGGCAAATAACATGTGTGGACATGGATGCCCTATTAGTTCAGTCAATGTGTGAATTAAGGACTTGTTTTTCCCAACATTCGTTTGTGACTGATAGTCACAGACTTTGATGACAATCTGCCACACAGCCCAAGACGTCGCGGCCGGTAGTCGGCGGTGGTCGGCGATATTACGACCCATAACCCGGGGTTGTCATTCGATGATCCTTGAAAGAGACGGAGCTGAGATGGAACTAAAGGCAGACGAAAATTCAATCATTCGGTCAAACCTCGGCCACCATCCATCTTCGAACCATTATTCTGCAAATGGTGTCGAGAAGTCTAAATACTCCAATTCCAGGGATCGTTCGTGGGCAAACGGCAAAAACGAACAAAAGAAGGTTTTCTTTCTGCTACGAAAGCGCTGCATGTCAGCTTGTCAGTCCCGTGCGCTAAACCTCTTCTTCTCCAACCCTCTCCCCCGCCTTCCTGGTTTGTCCTTGAGATGGCTCGATCCCTCATTTGCCGTGGTCCAGAGTCTGACCTATCGTTGCCTTGACTTCTCCTGGCCGTAATGCAGTCAGCCAGTCCGAGGAGGGTCGCGTCCGTCCCCGATGTCTGCGCGCGGCGACAAAGCTTATTTGGACCCTGCTCCTGCTCCGTCCAAGTTTTGACTCCGCAGCCGTAGACCGGATGGCGTCCGAGTGTCATAACGGGCGTAGGCGGAGTTTCTTGACGGTGGCAGAACCGTTCACGTACTGATGGGATGATTTGTGTGCAAAGTGGAACGTATGTCATTACAATGTATTTTTTTTGTGATAATTTTACAGGATTAAACGTGCAGAGGCTATGTTCTCACTGCACCACACACTTGTTGGGAAGTCCACACGGTCCAGACTTGACGTCCTTGTCGTCAAGTTCCTTCGGCGCCCGGCTCTCCGTCGCGGGCGGGTCCTTCTTGACCGGGGCAGGCTTGTCCGCTCCGTTGGTGCCGTTGCTCGTGCCGTTCTCCACCTTGGCACCGTCCTTGCTGCCATGCAGTCAACCCACGTGCTTGGCAACGGTCTCGTAGAAGGACTGGCCCTGGATGCGGGCGATCTCGAGCTCCTTCTCGGAGGGCTGGCGAGAGCCGTCGGCGCCGGCGAAGGTGCCGGCACCCCAGGGACCACCGCCGTGAATCTCGCTGAGGTCAGCCATCAGGGGGAAAGCCTTGGCGTAGCCGAAGGGGACGTAGATAATGCCGTGGTGGGCGAGGGTGGACATGGCGGCGATGGCGGTGGACTCCTGGCCGCCGCCGAGGGAGGCGGTGGAAATGAAGAGGCCGGCGAGCTTGCCCCAGTAGCCACCGGAGCTCCATTGCTTGCCGGTCTTGTCCCAGAAGGTCTTCCACTGGGCGGGGAAGGTGCCGTATCTGGTGGGAATGCCGAGGAGGAAGGCGTCGTAGGCCTCGAGGGTGGAGGGGTCCTCGAGGACGGGGATGTCGCTGGGCTTGGGGGGAGCGCCCATCTTGGTGAGGACCTCCTCGGGGAGGGTCTCAGCGATCCTGTTGATTGCACAATGGTTAGCCGGATTACAAGCGACTCGCGGCGGGGGAGGGGTTTGTAGTAAAGCAGGACGTACTGGAAGAGGTCGGCGGTGCCGCCGGCCTTCTCAATACCGGCCTTCTCGGCCTCGGCCAGGGTACGGATGTGGCCGTACATGGAGTACTGTTGTGAGGGCGCACGGGATTAGCATGGCGGTCTTAAGGGCAGGGTTGGAGTTGAGTTGGCGATCGCGGCGGGGTTCAGGGCGCCGAGGTGCGGGCAACGCGTATCGAGGCGTCATGATTGTGCGCGGGAGTCGTCATGTTGTCTGCAGAACGAGGCCTTCGGTTGCAGCCAGAGGCAACGATGGGCATCTACTGCGTACAAGGCATGCGGTAGACTTGGAAAGGGAGACAGAGGTTGCCAAGCCACCGTTGAGATTGAGTGAGGTGGTAAGATATTGAGTGAGGTAGGTGGGGAGAGGGGGCAGAGAACGGGACAGAAGAAATTGCCCGATTAGGAAAGAAGAGCTACGGGCTGGGGGGTGGATACTCACGTAGACGATAGCGATCTTGGGAGCCATTGTGGCAGATGTGTGTCTCTGTAGGACGGATGGATAGAAAAGGAAGGGTATCGATTGCAGTGAAGAGAGGAAATCAGTGCTCAACACAGAGAAACTGGAGAGGGAATGGAGTGAGAGGTGTCGTCTGTTGGGAAGGAGCACATCTTATATCAATCTACCTTACCCAGTGTACACGGGCAAGACAAGGTACGGATACGTTACCACGCAAGGCCGGCAGCTTGGCCAGGCGCGGAAACGGCCAGAGAGGGGCTGGAGGGGTTTGGATAAGGTACCTTACGGCGGTGTTGCATCATCAAAGGCACGCTAGACTCGGGCAGGCCAACCAGACGGGCGTCAAGGTAGGTACTTTCCATAGGTAGGTTGGGATCTGAGGTGGACGATGAGGTGCGGTTTCATCCAGCTTCAACGGCCAAGAGCTCCATGCTGCTCAGCTAAGGTGCTGTAAGCAGGCGCGCGACAATTGACAAACCGCAAGGTGTCCGGGCGGGTGGAGGGGAGGGAAGGAAAGCAGCTGCCCTGCCCCTGCCCTGCCTGGCATGGGGAGCTACACCCCTCCAAGCTGGTCCATGCTCCGCTGCGGGGCTGGCTTGTTATTGTGACATGACCACCTGAGGTAGCTAGGTAGGCAGGTAAGTACACTCTTGGGTTCGTGATCTCAATGTATTCTACTCTGTACCTAGGTAGGCAAGTACTTACCCGCCATACTGTTTCTGTGCAATCAAAGTCTCACTCAATACTCATCACAGGAAACAGACACGATGCGAATCGGAGCCGCGGGCGAGGATGGGTTGCGATAGGCACGTCAGGTCGCGATGCAACATCCAGTTCAGCCATGATGCAAGCTACCCGGAGAACACCACCATCTTGCCCATCGAACCCATGTCAGAAACCACCCGTGCCGACCTTGTTCCAGTAGCTGCCCTGCGACAGATCGCAGTGATCCGTGGTCCAGCAGCGGGGGGGCTGGATTTCTGAAAGAGACGAGGGTGCTGAATAAGTGCTTAACAACGCCATCAGCTATCATAAGCCTTACGAATACACAGGCAATCCCTTTCCTCGACCACCCTGTCGGCCGTGGGGTAAGGGCGGCACTTCCATTGTCACTTTAGTCTCAGCAACCTGGCAGCCAACGGTGGGGGGGGGAGGCTCTTCTTTTGTGCACGACTGTCTCTAGAGGAGCGCAAATACTTTCGGATCGCGGGTGTATCACGGATTGCCCTCTTGCCGTTCCCTCAAATTGGTATGACGAACCGCGAGACGAACCTAACATCAGGAGCGTTCCTCACTTAGAGTTGAGGCCCTCGAAGGTCAAAGCTCAGCCAGACGGCGGGATGGGATCAGGTACCAAAGCCTGTTTTCCCTCCCATTGTTGCCAAGTGCCGGAGCCGAAGGCATCTTTTGCGAGCGAGGTCCGGAGTTGGCGGTGACGATCGATGGCAGGACGAAGAGATTAGTCTTGACTGACAAATGGCAGCCCATATCCTTCTACGGAGCTCAGAACACGGTGAGCCAATGAAAGAACGCCGGGGATTCCAGTGTCTAAGGTACGACGTGGACTGCACGGAACATCTTTTCTTCATGACTTACACGTGGGACTCATGTTCCCTCTGACCGATCCTGGACGGTTGCGCCCATCGAAATCGTCGTCTGATATCCATGGATTGGATAGGTCCATCAGATCACAAAGCAGATGGTCGCAGATTTCGTCAACCGCCGTCAGCATTCAGTGGAGACACCGCCTGGACCCGACGACGGAGCACTGTGACGCTGCGGCACCCCACACATTGTCGCTGTCGCTGTCGCTGTCATCCCTCGCGCGCGGGTCTGAGTTAAGCGGTTGCTAAGCTGCACCAGCGCCATGATCCAAGGATGAATCAGCAACACACAGCGCTGGACCCTCACCTGCCGCCGTGATAGGCCGCCCTCGCCGCCGCTGGTACGGATCCGCGCATCGTAACCCGCAGTTACCTCCGTAGGTACACGGTCATGAATCGCTGGGTAATGGTAATACCTTGGTCTTCATTTTCAACATCTGGCTTACAACACCTAGGCCCTGTCCGCTATCGAGATCTCTCGAGGGCTAGGTCACGATAGAAAGACTTGGCTTCGCTGACGGGGGTCACGGAGCAGCCAATGCCCACATCGAGCCTTATCCGCACCACGAAAACGAAACGCATCCAACGTCCGATGCATCGACGGACCCTCACCGCCAACCTCGCCGCACTATTATTGTCTCCGGCTCAGTGACACAGATGCTCGATATGGTGCGAAAACCAGTTCCACTCCCATTTGCCAAAATTGGCAAGCGCCCGCCGACCTTGATGGGGTACGAAACGCTGGATTTCTCGGTGAGTCGGGTCGGTGAACGGAGGTGTGCGCTCTCACCTGGGACTCACCTCTCACGCCCGTATCTGGCAACGGCTTCGTCCATTTCAGATTGTCAACTGCTTCACTATGCCAAACACTCTGCCTTGTGCATCTGTGACCGATATCCTTACCACGTCGAGTGAGAAGGATGACAAGTGACTTTTAATTCGCCAAAACGGAAGGGGTCATTAGGTGCATCCTCGGCCTCCTTAGTGAACGGTGTCAGCATTGGCATCAAAAAGGGAAACTCGTAAGTATCACTCATTCATCTAATCTGATTACAGTGGCTCCATCTTTCGCATTCTGTCTCGAGTGCAAAATCTTCAAAGAAGCATCTCAAGTCTCACAATGGGCCAAGAAGCCTCCAAGCCGAAGCCTGGGACCAAGCTCCAGGTCATCGGGGCCGGCCTCCCCCGAACCGGCACGGCCTCCTTCAGCAAAGCCCTCGAAATCCTCCTACACGGGCCCGTCCACCACGGCGGCACCCAAGTCACCAGGGGCCCGGAATCCGAGATCCGCTCCTGGATCGCCGCCCTCGAGCACACCCCGATCAAATCAGCTGAGGACGACAAAGTCGTCCGGGAGACGCTGAGAAACCACCTGGACGACGGCTTCGCCGCCGTGCTCGACGTGCCCGGCATGCTCTTCCTCGAGGAGCTGCTCGAGATGCACCCCGGCGTCAAGGTCATCTGCACCGTCCGCGATCCGGACGCGTGGGTCCGCAGCATCCAAAAGACGGGCAACGCGTCTCTGCAGGCCTTTCTGTCGTTTGCACTGTTTCTCGTCCCGACCATGCGCTGGTTCCCGCGGTACATTGATGCGATCCCCAAGGGTCGCTGGGGCGAGCTGTTTCCTCACGAAGCTCCTGTGCCGGACCGCGCCGTGTGGGACACCCACCAGGCGTGGCTGAGAAGGGTGGTGCCCGCGGATCAGCTGGTGTTCTACCATGTTAAGGACGGGTGGGAGCCTTTGTGCAAGGCTCTCGGGAAGCCGATCCCGGATGTGCCGTTTCCGAACGTCAACGACGGGGACGCTATGGATGCTTTTGCGAAAGAGCAGATCATGCGCGGGCTGGCTCGGTGGGCGGTTGTGTTTGGCGGCGTCGCGGCAGTGGCTTGCGGTTGGTGGTGGATGCGGTGACTCTACAAGTGCGTCTTGATAGCCGCGATCAACGTGGAACAGAGCCCTCTTAATATACACGATTGCGATACATTACTGGCCACTGACTCAAGCCTTCAGAGACCGCTCTTGCTTCAGCTGGAAGATCTTGGCCAGCGTGAAGCAGAAACATCCCACCGTCAGAGCCGCTGCTCCGTACCCGATCATGGCCTGCCACTCCACCTCGCTGTATCCTCCCAGGATTGCGCCGGCAATAGGCGTGCCGATGAGGATCGAGATGCCCGAGGTGAAGTTCATCATGCCCATGCGCGTCCCCACGCGGCCCAGGTCCGGCGACAGACTCACGATGACGCTCGGCGTGATGCTGACCATGCCTCCCGAAAAACAACCGTAGATAATGGCGAACACAATCAGGCCCGCCATGTTGTTGATCCCCAGCCACGCAAACATCATGATCGCCGCCCCCGCAGCGAGCGACGTCTGCACGTACACCGCGCTGATCTTGTCCGCGAGGTAGTTGGGCACCACCCGCCCAGGGATGCTCCCCGCGCTCAGCAGCGTCACAAAGTACGACGAGAAGGACGCCGGGCCGATGCCGCGGCTGACTGCGAACAGCTGGATGTAGAAGAAGGCAATGTACATGGACAGGAACGCGAAGAAGGAGCCGACCATGACCAGCATGAAGGCCGGGTCGCGCAGCGCCGTCCGGTCGATGAGCGACCGCTTATGCCCCGACGGCGGCAGACGCGTGTGCATCCACAGTGCCGGGATGACGGACAGCCCGAGCAGGATGAAGCCCATGATGCGCGTCGCCCACCCGAAGCCGATGACGGGCTGCAGCCGGCCGAAGATGATGGGGAACACCATGCCCGCGATCGGGGAGCCCGTGGCCGCGATGCCGATGACGAAGGAGCGGCGCTTGAGGAAGTACTGGCTGAGGATCGCCGTCGAGGGGAGGAAGGTCAGCCCGCAGCCGAGGCCGATGCACACGCCCTGCGCGAGCAGGACCTGCCAGTAGGTCGTGCACAGCGAGGTCATGAACTGGCCGAGGAGGATGAGGAAGAGCCCCGCCCAGAGGAGCTCGCGGAAGTAGCCCGCGTCGTACAGCGGGCCGGAGACGGGCCCGACGAGCATCAGCAGCGCGCCCTGCAGCGAGCCGATCCAGGAGATGGCCGAGGGCGTCGCGGCGAGGGTCGTCTCGTAGTAGGTCTGGTACACGCCGAAGGTGTTGACGAGGCCCCACGTGGCGGCGAGGACGACCCAGGACCCGAGGACCTGGAGCCAGGCCTCGAGCCCGCCATCTGGGACGGCGCCGGGGTCGGATGTCGTGGGCGCCGCCGCCGCGGAGGGTTGGGTTTCGGGGTCGTTGTCCGAGTTCGAGCCGGGCGTGAGAGTCGTTTCGGAGGGGTGGTTTAAACGGAGGCCCGGGGGCGCGGAGCCGTGCTTCTCATCGGCTTCGGCGGCCGGGTCTCGGGCCGAAGACATGTTCTAGATTTTTTGAGCTGGAATTTTTGCTCGTCGTTTCGTGGTGATGTTGTCCCGAGAGGGGGATCGTTGGTTCATGCAAGCCTCCTTGGCGGGTGAACCTTGCTCGTTGCGACGTTGCGACGGCGATCCTTTCGAAGATCTAGTCGGGAAATCTGCCCGGCGGCTCAAGTCGATGTTATAAGTGAGAGAAGGAGCGATTAAACATTAAATATGTGTTTCCCCCAAACGAGCGTGGTCTTATCCTGATCTGACGCCGAGCAAAAGGAAACGAAAGGTCGGAAGATGTATTAGAAATCGGGAAGTGGAAGCGGCAAAGGACCAGTGGCGGCGGCGGCAGACCGACGGACATTTAAAAAAGGGATGGCACATGGGAAACTATGGAACTCTGCGTATTGCACCATTTGCAAGGGTCCACTGTTCCCTATCTTTGGGGGCCGTGTAAAAGAAAAAAAATCTTTGTTGATGGATTTGAGATGCGCATCCGCCACCTCGTCCCGGCAGTGCGGATGCCAGGGCATGGGAGGGTTGCGATCGGGAGGCTTCTCCCGAGAAAGTGATGGTTTGGAGGTCTGTCTAATACACCTTGGTACTAGTGAACATATCCAAAGAATAGGTGAAGATGTAAGTGATATCTATCGCAGCCAATGCTCGACCCATGAGGGCCGCAACTGGCCTTCTTCCAGCAACAGACGCCTCGCCCAGAGGAGGCCAAACATGTTGGCAGGGTGAAAGCAACAAAAGAATCAGAAGCAGGCTTGAAAGATTGCCGACGTCAACTCCCGTCCTCTGCTGGTCTCCGCTGTATTCCCACCGGCTAGGCCGAGTCCAGCTTAGGCTTCCCGGTGCACTGACGACTGGACCTTTGGGGACTCGAATGATTTCCACATTTTGACGACGACGACGATAACGGAGGCCCACGGGGGAGCATGTTCTCGGCGGTATGCGGCCGCCGAGGCCGGTGCGGACGGGCCCATGCCGGAGGCCATTTGCATCCGAGACATTCGGTCTTGTTGGAGGGAGGTGATGTGAGGGCAGTGAAGCTCATACGATGATGAAGTCAGCCAGAGCTGGCGCGCAAACCTTGGGCCAGAGGTTGAGCGGTGGTTTGGGGCTTCAGCTTTGACGTGGTAGGTGAGCGAAAGCTTGCTGTACTCAGAAAGAAAACCATCTCAGATGATGTGAAGTCAACTGCAGAATGCCAAAGCCAAAGAAAAAAACCACCGGGCCCAGCAACTGGACGGAAGCTGTGCTTCGGATGAAGCTTGCTTGCAACTGGGCGAGGTCTCCACACCTGCGCGCAAGGGTACTCCAGCAATGAAGTTGCCTCGGAAATCATCGGGCAACTTGGCCGAGCGGTCTAAGGCGCCAGACTCAAGCGACGAGCTTGTCCTTCCAAAGGGCAGTATTCTGGTATCGAAAGATGCGTGAGTTCGAATCTCACAGTTGTCATTTTTGCCTTTTTATCGTCATCGGAATAGTCTCAGACATACTGAATTTTTGATCTCCGACGCTTAGACGCAGTTCATTGCGGATTGATGGGTTGCCAATAGTCAACAATATCATTTAATTGTTAGCGACATTTGTTATTCACAGGAAGGAAGCTAGCTGCCCAGTGGGGATTATGCTTAACTCGTTAGGCTTTTGAGCTTGGCTTTGGCAGCCTGCAAGTGCGAATGTTGGCGCAAATCTTGTGGGCGCATGGGTAAAGTATCTCATTCACCACCGACCTCAATCAATCCATCCCAATCTTTGTGACCGAATCTCGGATTTCTACCATCGCAAGTATTATTCAGAGAAAAGAGTCCACGGCCACATGACAATGGGTCACCCTCAAGTCCTTTCGCCCAGGGTACGTACAGACGCACGGGTCACCGTTTCCCGCCGCTCCGCCGTTCTCAGACACAAAGTGTCGGATCTCCTTCAGATCATCGACCGGCCAGCGACGCCACGCACCGCCGTTGGGAGGGACATCAGCCCAGAGGGTGTTTCACGTTGGCCGAATAATAGGGACATGATGCCGCGTCCTTGGCTGGCGGCCCAGAAGTCTGGGCCTTGGGTTTTCTATCCTTCAACGATCGAATTATTAGTTTGAAGCGTTCGATAGTCAGGCTGTATCTTGTTCTTCGAAGAAGACATACATAGCCATCGTCATCACTCATCAAGAGCTCCCTCTGTTATACGACAACCGACACCATGAATCACGGCTACTCAGACACCCGCCGCGGTGTCTCGCCTCACAATGACTCCATGACCGACATCAGCGTGTCGCTGCTGAGCGAAGACGACAAGCCGTGGAAGCAAGCAGACATCGAAGACGGCGGCGGTTGCGCAACAAGACGAAGCCGGTGCGCCAAGAAATGCGAGGCCTTCAGGCGCTGGCGCTGGGTATTCGACACGGCGCTGATGCTCGTCGTCGTCGGCCTCCTCGTCGAGAGACGATACCTCCAGTCGCCCGCCCGCGACAAGCGCCTCGAACCCGTCGGCGACCTCACAGGCTTCGCGCCAGAATGTTCGTCTCTTCCCCATCCCAGTCGAATCTCCTCTTGGCTAACACAAGAAACCTCCAGTCACCCAGCAAATAACAACCTTCCACCCGACAACAGATTTCGTCCCCGACGACCCAAAGTCGCTCTTCACCAACGCCTCCCTCCAGGAGAACTGGCTCAAGATGGTGCCCCGCGGCCTCGGCTACCTCGAGGTCAAGAACCCGCGCGCCCACAGCAACCTCCCCGTGCCGCTGCCCGAGTTCGCCCCGCGCACCGTCTTCACCACCTCCATGACGCACCAGCTGCACTGCCTCTACGCCATCCTCGAGAGCTACGCCGGCCTCTCCGTCAACGGCTCCGCCGCCGTCGACATGCACTCCCACATCCCAGAGGGCACCGAGGGCGCCGACGGGCCCTGGCACCTCCAGCACTGCTTCGAGTACCTGCGCCAGGCCATCCTGTGTTCGGGCGACGTCGCGCTCGAGGGCACCCAGACAACCTTCCCCCCCGGGTTCACGGGCAGCGACGGCTGGGACGCGAAGCACGTGTGCAAGGACCCCAAGCAGGTGTATGAGTACCTCGACAAGAACCGCGCATTGGACGATCACTGGATTTGATAACATCTTGGGATGAAAATTGGAGTTTTGGGGAACGGGCTGTTTTTGGGTTATCGGCGTTTTGGGACGGGAGGTGTTCACTTTACGGCCAGAGCCCGCAAAGCATGGATGAAATGATTGAGACACTTTGTACATACAGGCCGGCCGAAGTCTTTTTGCCTAGCGAACCAAGCCATGTTTTTATTGTTTACCACCACCGCAATCTGTATTGTGAGCTGTTGCACAGCTGTTTTGAAAGACGCTAAAAGTCAAGAAATGCGTGCGAAGACCCTCAAAGCAAAAACGCATCAGTCGTAAGAATCAGCAAAAGGTCATGGACGTTTAGGGGATTGAACCCTAGACCTTCCGCAGATGCGAGTATGCAAAGCGGACGCGCTACCACTGCGCCAAACGCCCATCAACGCGTTATGTGAATAACTTCGGATACTGTCATTGGGTCACAGAGTAGTACATGTACGACGAGCGCAAATGTTGCATATTCGCTCCGGATAGTGAATCCCGCTCCAGCTTTGCTTATGCTAATCGTCAAGGGCTTTTGATCAGTCGCCCTCCGTTTCTCATGCTTTTTCATCGATTATAAGATTGATGCAGAGGCCAGGATGTGTTGATGGAAACGACCTCAGGTGACAGGGAATACCACCAAACAAAAGCAGTCCGCGTCGGGCCTTACTGTACTGGACAGAAAGAATGACTCATTTGAGACGAGCTGCTTGAAGTGACGGTAAAATAAGCTGAGGATTTTGGGGAGTCTCCAAGCACCCGTTGATGATTCCCTGCTTCCCCCTGCTGTCGTCTGATTGCCTCCAATAGGGCTGCTTGCACAAACTCAATAACCCATCCCCGGTTACTCAAAGGTTACGTGCAGCAGAACCTTCACCTAGGGCGAATGTGTATCGTTGAAGAGTAAGAGAAATAGCGCTTTGTGAGCTTGACGTCGACGAACAAAAATCCTGAGCACATCCGAGGCCCTTGAGTGTCTTGGCTGCACTTGGTTCTGATCGGTCCTGCTGATACAAATACTGCGCATGGGTTTTCCGCAAGTTCTTCTACAGCCTTTTACGATCGCTCGTCTTCGATCCGGTGGAAAACCGGAGGCAGAGTCAAGCATTGGGCCAAGATGCTTGGCAAGTGCAAACAGGTCAGGACCCAAAATCAAGACTAGGCCAAGCATCAGGAATTGACCTTCGACTTGGCCCCAGCAACTTGGCCATGTCATAAGAGCAAGGGTTACTTACATACAATGCAGATCATAAAGCATACCTTCCGTGCACTCGAGGAGCACTCGGCAGATAATACCGTCGAGAGCAGTATAACCAATGAGCACAGAAAGTCATTTTCAGAGTGAAAGCTTGAAATGATTGCTTCGAAATATGATGGTACCTCGGGCGCGCAGGCCGCAGAGGTGCAAAACCTCCTGAACACGCTCTGGTATCCTTTATAACTCCCTGTCCAGGCCGAGACTCGCCCAACGCCGATATCCAGTTTACTGGTAAGGTACTATACAATGAGTTTGGAGAGCTTGCCTCGTCCTGACAGCACTCGCTCAGTGTGTATGTGATTTGCCGATTCAGGCCATATGTATCAAAAAAGATCGCCACCAAATTTTCTTCCTTTGCACGGGGGCTCATTAAATCCAGCCATCATTCATCCGGTTTTCTTCCTTCTCTTCTATCCAGGATCAACCGTCACCTCTCGTCATCACGAGGCCTGGCGCTGGATGGCTCAATCACGATCTGTGGTAATTGCTGTAGCCGAAGGCTTGGTAATTGTGGTATCTTCCTCTGCTGGCTCTGCTGGCTTTGCTGCCCCGGTTGGCCAGTCGTGTGCTCCTCCGCGGCCAAGTCGGCCATATCTGAGGCAAGATTGTCTGCGCGTTGTTGAGAGGGTCCGGGATAGGTCGGAGGGGGTTCGACATTTGGCCGAGGAGTGTTGCTTCTGGAGTGTTCATCGTCGAGGGAAACTTCGTCGTATCCGGGAGGAGAGTAGATGGGGATGCCGGCCTCTCCAACATCGGCCTCTCCAACATCGGCCTCGATAATCTCAGGGCTCGAACCGGCTCTCGTGTCTAGACGGGGCGTATCTGGTCGCGAGTTCGCCCGGGATCTCGGCAGCCCAGGAGAGGGGAGGTCGCTGTCGATACTCATAACGGAGCTACCTCTCCTGTGGCCCGACTCGGCAACGGACCTGGTTGATGTGGCGGCAATACTAGCAGCGTCCGATAACAAGCCCATCCTCTCGCTTTCCTGGCTGTTGGCTCGAATTCGGGTGCCATCGTGACGTGCAACGCCAAGATCGGCGTAAGATACGCTAGAGACATTTCTTTGGCGTTCGGCCTTGATACGTTCATGCTCTTCGCGGAGGACGCCAACGACACTGTTGTTGCTGGCGTTGCGGGCTTGTGTGCGGATGTTCTCCAGAGCGACGTGGTCGCCACGGTCTCGCGCTTCGCGACGCTCTCTCCTCCTCTCCTCGCGTTCGGCAAGTTCTTGTCGTCGAGCCAGGCGAATCTGATACAGTGCTTCCATCTCTTGGTCACGCAGTTCCTCCTCATTCTCCTCCGTCGGGTACTCAATGACAACATCCACACCGCCACGCTCGCCTTCACGACCCAAAACCTGTTCGTTATCGTTGGCATCGACCCTGTAAGCTGGTAGGGTCATGACTGAGCGAATAGAAGTGTTGCGGTTCACGGCGCTGTTGGGGGAGCGGCTGTCGGCCTGTGACTGGTTGGCGGAGGCATCGAAGCGCAGGGAAGTCGGGCCAGTACGGGAGCTGCGGGTGGCTAGCTGTTCGGTGGAGTTTGATTCTTCATCCTGAGCCTGTTGGTACCTGCTCCGGCCAGCGCCCGTGTTCCATATTTTGAGAAAGCCTCCACGGGAGGAGTTTTTCGAGGGTTGGCGATTGCGTCGAGAGGCGCGGAAGGAGAATATTACAAAGGCGACGAAGATAATGAGGACCAGGGCGGCGAGGATTGCCTGTAATGGCGATAGGTGTTAGTGGTGTTGTTGACTGGCACGAGCGGCTCGGGGCCATGGCATGATAGTGTACTTACAATGATGGTGACTTTCCTGGGATCGCTATCGCCGTCACGTCGACGCAAGGCCCCGGACGAGTGCTCTCGAGCAGCTCCCAGCAACTGCAGAGGTATTCGCATATTGAGATACATGTTGGTAAAGAAACGAGTGACAAAGGATGGAGGGCGCAGAGCGGAAGAGGCGGCGGTTAAGAGGGCGGAGGTGACTAAGGTAAGGCGTAAGGCGAATTACGGCGGGGCGTCCCAGCTGCGCAGGGCAAAAAATAAGCGTCAGAGCTGGGACATTGAGAACCGACGATTGACAACAGCAGATGGAGAAGCGGAATATGGAGGAATTCGCGACGCGCGAAATGTAATCGAAGTCGGTTGCGAGAAGGGTTTTCTTCCGGTGGGTTGGAGGAACGGTACGAGACAGGAAGGAGGGAAGCAGCGGCGGGAAGCGCAGACTGCTGGCTGGTAGGTGTGTGTGAGTGTGTGTGAGAGAGGTGCGGATGAGGTGAGCGAGGTGAGGCAAGGTAAGGTCAGGAAGGAATGGAACAACAGGTGCAGGACAGAGGTGCAGGTCCCAGTTTGCAGGCAAGGTCCCGGGGGGGGCAACCCAAAGGCCAGGTCCAGGTCCAGGTTCAGGACCAGGACCAGGTGCGTTAGTGTACGAGGACGCCAGGTGGGACACGGGATGGGGATTGGAGAGGGTGCCAGTGGGTGTGTTCAGCCAGGAGGTGTAAGAGATGCCTTTTGGGTATTTAGGGACCGACCTCGCCTTATTATTAGCAGGAGCTGAGGGTGGAGGAGAGGGGTTTGAATGGGGAAGAGAGAGAAAGAGAGAGAGAAGAGCAGTGAAGGGTTTACGAATAGGGATGAGGTAGGTAGGTAGGTAAGGATGGATATGAATAAAGTATTGGATGCAAATGGATATGGAGATGGATTCCAGATTATGGATTATGGGAAGGAGGGACGTGGAGGCAGCAGCGTCAAGTCACGGTCACAGGTTTACCGTCAGCCCGGGCAGGCAGGACGCTGGAGGAGGTCAGGTCCAGGTCCCGTCAGCACCACCGTTGTTCGTTCATTCCCCCATTTTGCAGTTCCAGCCAAGCCTTTTCCTTTTTTTGTCTTTTTTTTTTTCTTCGGTTCTGTCTCTCGTGCCTGAGGTGCCATCTCGTTCTCCTTTCGAGCATCTGCAGCTCCGGATGCAATGCAATGCTCGGTGCACGCAGTGCATTCATTTCATTTCGCAGACCACTCCCAAAAACCGCAATCATCATCACCCACCACCAACAAGACAGCAGACCTACCTACCTACCTTACCCAATGCTGTGCAAAGGCCGTCCCTCCGCCGACAACCCTGGGCCTCCAAAAACACGACCTCGACGGAAACACTAACGTCCCACCCCGGGTTCGTGTATGCTCCTTAGTGGGCGCCGGCGGCGGGAACAGCCAGACCCTGAGCCAATCAGCCGCCCCCTCTGCTGCGACGATGCGAGTCGTCGCGTCCTCTGCAAAGGACCCCGCGGATACAGCTCCTCGATGATATCAGACCAAGAGACACCGCCCGTCCCTGATGGCTGGTCCTGCGCCCGAAGGGACCGAACCGCCACGGAAGAGACGGACGCCCAAGAGGCTATGCCCGTTGACACACGACGACGTCCACACTGGATGAGGCTCTCCGGATGGCAGGGGAAGCAATCAATGCAACTTTTTGAGTTTACAGAAGATGGCACCTGTCCAACTGGTGTTCGTCGAATGAACAACCCCTCGAATATTCATCTATTGCAGCCGGGAACATACGCGACGGGAAACACGAACGGGCGAAACAATGCGGAGGGAAGAGCCCTGTCGTGTCCAGCAAACGGACCAAGCCGAATCTCGGGAACCGACCTCTCCATCAATGCGTCTCCCGCGCTTCCTTCGATTAGATTCAAGCAATTGGTATTCTCTCGGCCTTCACCGACGAACCACTTCACGCGCCCATCTCCAGCTGTATGCCGTCAGACCCTAAACATTCCCAGTTCAACATAAGCCATCAAGCCACCAAGCCATCGCCGCCTCATTACCAGTCAGCCCAACCCCGACCTCCAGTCTCGGGGCTTGAGGCGGTGCGCCAGGCGGTGCTGCCGTCAAACCTGTTGGTCAATCGTCAGTGGTCACCACCACCCAGCCCTGCCCACTTCTCCGGCCCCTTGGTCCATGGCTGTCCTGGCTGCTGCAACGCTACAACGCTCCATTCGATCCCACTCTGTCCAAACGCTCACCTCAAAGTATCGAGACCCAAAACTTTTGGACCACCGCAGCGTCACTTCTCCATCGCGACCCCCATCTCGTCCTTGACACGGGGTCCACGCGTGACATCAGACGAAACACTGTCTTCCTCCTGGCGACGATGCAGTCTTTGTTTTCGAGGGTGACGGATACCAGCTTTATCCTGTTCCAGGACACTGAGTTCGCTTCTGTAACTTCCCGTTCCCGCGTAGCGACTCGACCAGCAATGAGGCGCTTCAGGAGTGACGAGGTCGCCATGCCGCTGGCCTCCTTGCTTTCCTCGGTCTTGTTACCCACATGAGGAAGGACATCAGCGCGCTCGAGCGCTCAGGGTCGTCTCCAGTTTTGCCCGTGCTACTATTTCAAGCAACATCATGACCCAAAGCACAACAAGCATCACCGCCCAGTGACGACCCATCAACGAAATGTTCCCACTTCCAAGAGACCTCAAACACAAGAATTGTTCGCTGATGCCTGGGATGCATTACCCTCCAGCCACCGCCCTCTCGACATGTTCTCATGACTGATATCCAAGAATGCGCTCTGCCACAGCCCACAGACGTTGCAGGGTTCCCCAGCCCGATCAAAGTGCAAAAACTAATCCCGTAGCCGCCAACCACACCAGTTGGCAGAGCCTAGGAGACTTCTGGACGACAGCAAGGATGCCCCGCCATGAGGCGCACCGCCTCATCCCCCAATCGCACTGTGGCTTTTGCGCTGTCCCATCGCAACCAACGGCAGGATGAACAGAGCCCTGTTTGATCACCAGCCTCTGATATCTCGCGCAACTACAAAGTCATCCTTGCGATATGATGCCTGTTGCCAGCCATGCGCTGATGCCCGCATACCATTGCGAATTCTATCCTGGCTCCAAATGCCCAAACCTGCAAGTTCTCCACGCTGTGCCCTACTCTCAGGGACGGATGGCTGGTCTCAATGCAAGTCTCAGACAAGACGCACTTGTCTAAGACCTGCCTGCATGTCGTCTTAAATTGCCCAATCGCCTGGCTGTGCCCTCTCATTCGCAGCTCCTCGCGAGTAGCGCTGACAGAGGCGGAACGGGGTGGCATCCCACTTTCGTCCATACTTGAGTCTGGCACTCAATCGACCTCATCGCAGGGCAGCCGGCCATGCCTCGGGTCGAACGAGATTTTGGTTGACGGTGGCGGCCTCTGGTGCGCCGTCCCCAACGCTTCACACAGCACCAAGGCATCCGTCCCGCATTGAACCAGGCGCAACGCAACGTTAAATCGGCCTGTCGTCGTGCCACCGTCTTCAATTATACGAGCAGCGGGTTTACCCCAACTGCCCCTCATTCCAACCGTCCCAGAGCCAACGCAAACTCGCAGCGCAGACTTGCCACTCCCACGTTCCGTCTCAGCTCAGCTGGGATGAGCTTCAAGAAGCTTGTCCCACGGTGCACTTTCTAAGTCATATGCAAAGTGCTTTGGAAGGATGATCACCACCACACTTCGCAGTCTGCAGCGCGAATCCTCTGAGCCCGCCTCCATGCACGCACAAACCACAAAGCACCACCGCAGCAACCAACACAGCGCCCCAGCGACGATCTGCCGAAGCAAGAAAAACACATGCAGCCTTCCTCACTGCGCCACGGGTCCTTGACGTCCGGCCCCCCAGAGTCGCGAATCCTACCAGGCCACCACGTTGTTGCTGACACCCGTGCATGACGTATAACGCAGCCTGTTTGTCCAAAGGGAGGCGATCAATCGTTGCATGTCGCCTGAATGATTTGAGTAATGTTTCCAGGCGTAGACAACGACATTCAGCCTTGTCGCGATCGCATATTCTGAAGTAGTACCCATGATGATTTGGAATGCACTGAGGGCCATGTGATGCCTGTCCTCCTCTCCCGAGGAAACTCAAGTCACTCTGGTAAGCATCGATTCCAGACTTCATGTCCACTTTAGTAATATGAAAAGGCGGACGTTTATGATTGGGCGCGAGCATATCATCATCATGACGATCAACACGCCTGGCCGGAGGTAAACCGTGAGCAGAGTCGTTGCGATCAAAACAGATTCATCGCGCAGGATTCATATCCAAAACCCTCAATTATCAGATTATCTCGTGAGAAAAAGCCCGTCTTAACAATCCACCACTCAAGAAACCATATTTCGCCTTCCAAAAAGGAACAACAACAAGAACATGCTCATCCAAACTTCTTCTCAAACTTCCTCAGCATGCCCGTGACGCCCCTCTCGAGCCGCCCCGCGTTCGCCTCCAACTTGCCCGCCGGCTCCTGCTTGACCATGTACCCCTTGTACCGGGCCGCCTCCTGCTCCGTCGGCCGGTAGAGCTGCTGGTGCACCGAGTAGTCCACCGCCGCCGGCGACTGCGGCTGCGTCGTGTACGAGTACTGCGAGAATCCCCCGATCGGCGTAGCTCCGGGGCTCGTGACCGGGGGCGTGCCCGTCGCGCCTGGCGTCTGAGGAGGCGGCGTTGGCTGCTGGGCCTGTTGCTGTTGGGGCGCTTGTTGAGGCTGGGCCGGCGCTGTCTGCGGCGGGGGTGGAGGTGGAGGAGGCTGCAGACCCGGGGTGCCGGGAAAGTTGCTGCCGTAGGGGCTTGCCAATCCCGGCGAGGCCAGGCCGCCGTGGACGGCTTGTACGGGCATGGTCACGGCGCGCTGGAGCCCGGGTTGCGGTGGAGCGCCAAACTGCGGAGGCGGGGGCGGTGGAGGGAGACCGGTGGCGCCGACCTGGGCGGACTGGAAACCCGGGGGCGGGACGAAGCCGGGAGAGAAGGGAGCCTGGGCGTCGTATGCTACTGCGGCCGCTAGGGGGTCCACCCCGCCGTCTTCTGGGGGAGGAGTCTTTTCTCGGTGTCTGATTGCCTCGGGCGCGGCGGGCGCGGCGGGGTTATATGCCATCGGCACAAAGCTTGCTGGAGGTTCTTGCTGCGCCGGGACAGCGGACGTTGGAGGCCCCGCGAAACTGACGGGCGCTTGTTGTTGAGGTTGCTGGGGGCTGCCGTAGTGAGGATCCGAGATCGCGGCGTGCTCGAGCTGTTGCACGACTGCGCTCACGGGGTCGGCTTGGTGATGGCTGTGGTGGTGTGATGGCTGCGCCGGCTCGTCAAGAACCTCGACCTGCGCCGGCGGGAGGACTCTGCGGATGCCATTGACGAACTGGAGCGCGTCCTCCTGCTTCCAGAAGTAGATGTCGAGAGAGTGAAGCTTGTAGTGGTACTTGTTCTGATTTTGGGGGTCGTAGGTCGGGAGATGCCACTCCGTCTGGTCCGTCGTTTCGCCGACAGTGAGGGTTACCATGCATTGGTGATTATAGGTGTACTGCACGTGCGTCTTATCGAGGACTAGACACCACTATTGTCAGCTCTCTGGCTACGGCGGCGCATGGCGGCGCAACATACAACCGTCAAAGGCATCTTGATCATCCGTGCCTGGGTGGTTCGCGATCTCAATGCGCGCGCGGCGGTCATTCGCGTTTTCGAACAGATAAACGTAGGAGCCCTTATCGAAGCGGTGGTGAGGGGGGTTATTCGTCGGCGGGCCGTAAAAGTAATGAATGTCTCCAAAGCTGTGAAGCGTCACAGGCCAGTCAGCCATGATGTTGTTTTCCCCTCAAGTCAAGTAGCACTGCTACTGCTGTTCTTTCTGCGTCTGAGAAGATGGAGCAAACTCACAGAGTAGCTACGTTCTCCTCGCCCGGCCGGGTCGCCATCCTGGTTTTGTTGGAACCTGTGTTTCCAGGAATAGATCTTCTGGTCGTTGGGAAAAGGCAATCGGCCGAGCAATCAATCTGAACCCCTCCCTCCCACTCGCGAGGGTGAGAAGCACAGGAGCGGCGCAAGCTGTGGAATTACCCCGCCTCGGTCAAAGGCCAAGGGCGGCAGCAGGACGACAATAGAAACAGACTGCCGTTGGGAGGTGTGTGTGGTGTTTGGTGTGGCACGTTTATTGCGGACTCTTTGCAAGGAATAGCACAAATATAGTACGTACGGAAGGAGGACAAGAGTGTCGGGGAAGAGAGGAGGGAGGATGGTTTGTGAGGGCTAGATAATTAAGGTAGGTCTCCTTGGAACCGGCCCATCCTCTTTCTCTTCCCTCTGCCCTGCCAGTCAGCTTTTTGTACCACTCGGTACTCGGTCGCAAGAGAGAAGAAGAAAAGACCCAAGCACAGATTCTTGCGACCATCCCACTGTCCCGCCCATAGCTCCAATGCGCCGGCGTCTAAATGCATGCTGCTCGACTGGAGGAGCCTGCAGGTGGTCGCATCGAGTGGTCAACCGGGCGCTTACAGGAGGTTGAAAGAACCAATGACACGCGGCGACCGGGGTGAAAGTGAGAAGCACTCCCAGTCGGCCGCGGTCCCCACGGTCCTCGAAGTGGAGCTTTCTGGACCGTTGGGCACGGACCATCGTCCGTCAGCCAGAATCCTTAGTCATCATTCGACGACCGGCCGGGCTGCGTTCCAAAAATTTGGCGATAGCTTCCATATCGCCGGTTTGGTCAGGTGACGGTCTGGAATTCGCAATCTTTGGAGCCACCCCACGCGCAGCACGCTGTTTTCAAAGGTCAAGGGTGACATACAAACCAGTCAACCGCTCCCAATTGAGCTCACGCCGTAAGAACATGCCACCGATGTCCCGGAAACTTGATCGCATCTAACTTGCCCCCTCCTAGAACCGCACCCTTCCGCACCCTCTCACCCCTCGACGCAACCTCCCCACGATACCCGAGCCCCGGTGCTCACCCAATCATCCCTCAAGATGGGTTTCACAAACATGATCAACGCGTGCTCGCACCTTCAGAATGCCTCCCGCGCCCGCCTCGGCATGACCTCCATCGTAAACACCAAGCACAACCTCAACCTCGCCCTCGCCCTGCAGCGCGCAGGCTTCCTCTCCTCCCTCTACCGCGGCGGCCCCGCGCCCCCGACCCCGGAGCAAATGTCCGAGCCTCCGGAACCCATCACCACCGCCAACGTGGCCTCCCGCCGCCTCTGGGTCGGCCTCAAGTACTGGAACAACGAGCCCGTCCTCAAGGGTATCAGCATGGTCACTAAGCCGAAGCGACCCGTCAACATCTCCTTCAAGGACCTCGAGCTCGTCGTCAGAGGGTTCCAGAGCAAGGACGGCCTGATCAAGGGCATGACGTTGGGCGAGTGCATGTTCATCTCCACCGACAGGGGCGTTTTGGAGGCGAGGGAGGCTTTGGCTAGGAAAGTGGGAGGAATGGTCCTGTGTCGTGCAAGGTAAAATAAGAGAGAAAAAGAAAACAAAAAAAGAATGACGGATGGGGTTTTGGACGAAGACGAGGACTCGGTCCGCAAACGGATAGACGAATGGCCTCAAAAATGGCGTCTTGGGGAAAAGGCACCAAAAAGGGACAAACGGGCGGCCGATTTGTAGACGCCCGGTGGGAGACATGTCCTCCACGTACTGTACAAAATCTGTATTTTGTAGAAAACATGAACACACCATTTCACGCTTCACTTTGCCCCGGCCCTGTTACAACGCTTAGAGTGCACATGCACCGAAGAGTATCATCACAAGAAGGAGCTTCAATCGCCGAAGTGAAAATGCTTGCGAGTGGTATTCATTCTCTATAACTAATCTTAATCCTTGGGCTCCAGACACCAACTTATTGCTCCGGAACCCCTAAAAAAAACTCTCACGAACGAAGAAATTTACGCCTTTTTGTCGGTCAGGTATCATGGTACACCCCAATCGTCTAAACTATACATTTGCCTCCACCCCTCTTCAACACGCTACACGCTTCTTTATGCTGTCTCAGTCTTGACTTCTGTGGTCGCCACGCTGGAAGCAGGAGCCTCGTTCTGCTCCTCGACGGTCTCCTCAAGGAGCTCCTCAAACTCATCCGGGCTCTTTAGCTCGTGGGTGTCTCCCTCATCAATGGACAGTCTCGCCGCTCGCTGCGTGAGCTCATCGAACTCGGGAGACTCAGGGCGATCCTCGTTGACGCCGTCGGATCCAGACGTAACGGCGGCACTGGGCTCGGGGTCAGAGGTCTTGTCCGAAGAAGACTCCTCAGGAATAGGCTCCGGTGTGACCGGTGCCTTGACTGGCTCCGGCTCAGGCTTGACCTCGACGGGCTCCTCGGCCTTGTCAACAACCTCAGCCACCTTCTCAACCGTCTCAACCTGAGCGGTTTCGGCCGCCACCTCCTCAATCGAGGGCTCCTTCTTGGTGAAGGGGCTTCCTGTACGAACGGACTCGGGAGAGCGCTTGATGGTTCTTCTCGGGCTTCTCGAGACGGATGAAGCTTTGCCGCTGCCTTGCGTGGAGCTGCGGTGTCTGGGAGGCGTGACGGGGGCCTTCTCGGTGGTCTTGGAGCTCGAGCTCTGGGTCGGACGCATCATACGCGCCAGGAAGTTCTCGTCGACCTCCTTCTCCTTCTTGGTGATAGGGTGATCCTGAAGAGGCTTCTTCGGCGGGGGTCCAATGCTGGGCCTGGGCCGATTGATGACCGAATTCTGGCGCTTCAGAGTCTTGTGCGGCCCGGCACCGGCGGCGCTCGCTCTGCTAGCCGGGCGGCCCTGGTTGCCGGAGGAGCGAGAGAGGGTCTCACGGGGAGCTTCCCCCTTGACCTTGGAGACAGACGCGGCAGTCGGGGCCATGAGGGACGCCGGAAGTCTCACGGGCCTTGTGGGAGACTTGACCTTGGGCTTAACAAAGCCGGCGCCGCTAGGCGGGGTAACGTTTACGGGGGCGGGCTTCTTGTTTGATCCCGCCGTCTTCGCGCCAGTCTTTGGCATGCTAGTTGCCGGCTTCTCGGGGGTTTTCTTGGCCGGGTCATGGGCCGCCTTGGGGGCGCTCAGCTTCGAGCCGGATTGAGGCAGCGCGGGTGCCTTGGTGGTGGTCGGAGACCTCGTGGGCGTCTTCGATCTCGCCTTGATTGCGGCAGGGGGCGCGAGGCTTTTCGGAGCAGGCTTTGCGGTGCTTTTAGCCTTGGCGGCCGGCTTCGCCGTGTCGGCGGCAGCTGCAGCTGCGCCGTTGGTAGGTGCGGAGGGGGTCTTCTCGGTCGGGTCTCCGGGGAGAAGCTCGGGCGTGGGCGTCTCGATGTCGACGTGCTTGTCGGGATTGTGGCTTGGCTTGTCGGTCACGGCGCCGAGGCTTCGGGTGGCAGCTTGGGGAGAGCCCTTCGTCGCGTCAGGGCGGCGAGGAGACTCGGGAATGGTCTCGCTGACAACACTGGCCTTGAAGCCGCCGGAAGTCTCCTCGGTGGCCATTGTCTTGTCGGATTGGCCAGAGACAGACGCCTCTCCCTCGGTGTGGCTGCTCAGGCGCCGCTGAGACAAGCTCGACTCATTGCTGGGGTCTCGGCGAAGTCCGACTCTGCCGTCCTTCTCGACGGCTACGAAGCTGGTGCGAATCTTGGAGAGGGGGCGGGCTGGAGGCGGAGGGGTTTCGGTGCCGTCTGGGAAGGTTATGCGGTTAGCAAAGATTCAGAACGGGACGCGATTACAAGAAGACAATATGGGTGCAGTTCATAGCGAATAGTGCTGCGAGGGGCGACTTGCAAGCTGGAGCATCGCAGTGCAGCTGTGCAGGGCAAACGAGAGAAGAAGAGTGGTGGACAGCACTTACTGGAAGAAAGTCCAGGCGATCTACCTCGATCTGGCGGGCTCGCGTCCTGTTTCTGCTCGAACATTGCCCGCAAGTTCTTGACTGCGGACATGGCGACGGTGTCGGGTCGCTGCCTTGCGACGAGGTACTCTGCTAAACTTTCGGTGGAAGCTGTAAGGGAGGTTGGAGTTGCGACGAGTATCTCGTTGGGCGATATGTTGGGCGAAGAAAGCGCGGCGCAAGATGCTCAAGGGCTATAAGGAGGAACTCGGCGCTGGAGTGTTTCCAGCACGCAGGCGCATGCCGAGTCAGGTTCGTATCTGCGGAGAAGGCGGAAGCAGGCTTCGAAGTCGGGCAGCGGTCACGACGTGTGAGCTTTTTCGAAGTCGTGGGTTTGGGGGCTGAGCGGGAGGGAGAAAGTGGGAGAGAAGGGCAGGATTGGATTCGGGGGCGGCGGTGTCAGTTCAGCGAGGCGAGGCAGGCAGGCAGACAGACGATGGATGATCAGCAGCGTTGTGGGTATCTCGAGCTGGGTTTGTGTGGAGTTGTAGGCGGGTGAGAGACGGGAGAGCAGCGAGGTGCTATGCTAAATGCATGATCTGTAGAAGAGGAAGATTGCGAAAGCTGTCTTGTCTCGATGCCTGGGGGGGAGTGCTGTGGTGTTGTGTGCTGCAAGTGGTGCGTGTGTGGTTGGTGTCTCAGTCAGAGTCTCTCTCGTCTGGTGTTTGGTGTCCAGTAGTTCCAGTCCCGTCTCCCCTCGGTGGGCGCGTTTGTCCGTCCACTTGGTTCAGGTCCCGTCGGGTCTGTGGTCTCCTAGGTTCAGTGCGAACAGAGGAGAAAATGGAACGGCCACGGTCAGGGTGTGTGAGGTGCGGTACGGATACTCGTGGGTGCGGGTGGTTCGAGAAGGGGACAGGTGAGGTTGCTTGTTCATCAGGGCTAGCATTTAAATTACGGCCACCCCATAATCCCATAATCATAATCAGAAGGGACTGGATCGATCAAAAAGCCCACCACGCGGTAGGCCACTATTTGCCAATTCGAACGCACCAGACCACCGCGGTCTGCTCGTGTAGGGCCTGCTCGATCCTCGGCGTCATGTACTATCTGCTTAACTTTGGGATAGATACCTCATCACCAAGAGCGAGAGTTGTACACTAATACAATACAGAGTCACAGAGTAGGTAAGGTACACTCTAGCATTAGGGGGAGGGGGGCGGCGTTGTGAGGGGTGTGTGCGAGCATTCAGGGGTTCCCATACATGCACATGCTCATTCGCTGCTACACTGCCAAACCGACCCGACGCCAGCTCACTGTCACAGACTTAGCTCGTCTTCAACATGAGGCGGTGGGTGGTGGGTGGTGTTGGCGACGCGTTTATGTAAGGACTGGTGCATGGCATATGCAGTTTATGCCTGTATGCATCATGTACACTGCCTACCTTACAGGCTTACACAGCTATGGAACACAGCCAGCCAGACGGATGGTTCGCGTTCACTGCAACGCCGCGGTGCGCGTCCCCAGCCTCCCAGTCCCAAGAAAGAACATGCAGGAGCTCCAACGGCGGGCATCCACTGGCCATTCCAGCTGCTCTCGCTTGTCGAAAAGCCTGCAGGGCCTCAAATGGGAGATCCATTGGCCCAGGGTCGTCGAACATGGTTCTGGAAGCTGCTCATTAACGGCCAGTGCCTCTTGGTCAGCGAGAGTCTCCCCCAGGGCCCCAATCCTCCCTTTTTGAAGAATTGTCATTTGAGCACATGAAAACCACAGAGGGGGTGGGCGGTGATAGGTCCCAGGGTGCCAACAATATGAGGTACTCATTACCTTACGCGAGTACTTTTGAAGACACATCACAAGTCAAACACAACGTCACAGCTCACTGTTGGCAGCCAGACCCCCTTTTCCATCCAACCATCCCTCCAGACTCCGTTCCCCTCTATCCCTTGGCTTGGTGGTGCTTGCCCTTGTAGGAAAATGCCCCTCCTACCTCTCGCTGCCCTCACCTGAAGTGTTCGGGGAGTCTGTCGTGTCTGTCTGTTGTCCCAGGCCGTGTGATGCCGCCGTCGCCGCGGTTTAGTCCGCAGCTGCAGCTGCATCTGCAGCTAGTGCCTGACTGTTGGGCGCGGCAGGATCGACAAAAAGGGGAAATTCGGTAGCAATGTCGGTTTGGCAGCCGTCGGATGCCGCCAACCGGGCGCAATGACGAGACGGCGCTGACAACTTACAGCGGTAGCTCTGGTAACTTATCAAAAGTGAAGCACGCCTACAAACGGTCTCTGAGGTGATGGACATGAACGCCGCCGGACGAGCTTTCTTTCCCTCTCTCAGGTCCATATCTTTAATCTTTTTTCATTACCTAGTGGGAAAGCTAGGTACAGCTCCAATGCACGGTCTCCTGTTTCACAGTCTCTCTTCTTCTCATCCGCTGTGCATTAGTGCGTCTGCTGGACTGCGAGCTTACCGCCTCTTGCCGCTTAACCCGTTTATCAGAATATGCATTATTCAGAAAAGGGGCAACGGTCAGGAGCGACGCGAAACACGGCTCGACGGAGGTAGGGAGAGAAAGAAAGAAGGAAAAAAAAAAAAAAAAAAAAGGTTGGCGTTCTTGTTTACTCAAGCGGCTTTCTTTATCCCTAGCTTATCCGGCTGCTCTGGCAACTGAGCCCTCCACCGTTTGACAGTGAGAGACAAAGATCAAAGAAAATGACAGTCCATCAATCATCCTTGGGATCACGCAAAAAAGAAGATCGGAAAAAAAAAGTCATGTATCTGGAACGCGACTCCGGTCTGCAGCACGGCCCCCTTTTTGCCTTCCATTTCCCACCTCGGGAGGGAAGAGCTTCCCCTCTCGCAATGCTCTGGAAGCTCTCTGGAAGCTCTTCAATCCCGGCACGCCCGCGCTGTTCCCTCTGTTCTCCAACGCGCTAGAAGCGAAGAATGTGGGGAGTCTCTCAGGGGTCGTCACATCCCCTCGGCCGCTAACCGGCGACAACCTTGCCCATATAATTTCCGTCTGTGAGGCCCCAAGTTTGCTGTGCTGCGTCAATTGACTCGCTCCATGCTCATTGCTGCTCGCGGCCTGACCTGACCCGACCCAGGCACCATACGGATGCACTACTGTGCCGTACATTTGTACCCTTAGGGCAAGTTCGTTGATGAGAAGGTAGATCGTAGGGCCGGCTAATGGTGAAGGACTGTGGCCCGAGTACCCGGGGCGTGCCGCCGGGATGGGTAGCATTCCGGGAATCAAATAGGCACTCACTCAATCTCTGAAGCTCGCTTTCTGGCGGTGCAGGGCGAACAGCGCATCAACGGCCGACACCAGACCGTCCAGTACCGCCGTAAACACGCTGTCCAAGATGAGATGCGAAAGCGAATCATGCGCCTCGTTGCAGCGCTGGAGAGGACCAACAAAAAGTTCACCTTGAAAGAACCTGACGCAATGGCGCGGAAGTAGCCGCGGTTTGAAAGCTCCGATGTGTTGGACCCTGCTCCAAGAATAACGGCCGCCCGTTGGTCGCTCGCCGAACGGCCCTCGGTGTGGCTGGCCCGACCTCCGATATCGACCGTCCATGCAGGTAACTTTTTTTGCGTCTCGGCTGTGAATGAGTCGGGCTTCGTTTCCTTCAACCAGAAGACAATCCACCCGCTGGCCGCCAATTGAAGCCCATCATGTCTGTCAGAACTCTCAGAATCGGTAGGACCCCCGTGGGAAAACTCAATTGGCCAATTCCGCATTTACTAAACATTTCCCAGGCCTGATCCCCGGTGACGGCATCGGCAAGGAGGTCATCCCCGCCGGCCGCCGCATCCTCGAGGCCCTCCCCGCTTCCCTCGGCCTCAAGTTCGAGTTCACCGACCTCAAGGCCGGTTTTGAGACCTTCGAGCAGACGGGCGCCGCCCTCCCCGACAAGACCGTCGAGATCCTCAAGAACGAGTGCGATGGCGCCCTCTTCGGAGCCGTCTCCTCCCCCACTACCCCGCGCAAGGGCTACTCCTCCCCCATCGTCGGCCTGCGCAAGAAGCTCGACCTCTACGCCAACGTCCGCCCCGTCAAGTCCGTCTCCACCGACCGCAAGCTGATCGACATGGTCATCGTCCGCGAGAACACCGAGGACCTGTACGTCAAGGAGGAGAAGACCTACGACGGCCCCAACGGCAAGATCGCCGAGGCCATCAAGCGCATCAGCGAGAACGCCTCCCACCGCATCGCCGCCATGGCCGGTGAGATTGCCCTCCGCCGCCAGAACGTCCGCGCCACCGGTGCATCCAGCATCCACAGCAGCCCCCTCGTCACCATCACCCACAAGTCCAACGTCCTCTCCCAGACCGACGGCCTCTTCCGCCAGACCGCCAAGCAGGCCCTCGCCAACCCCAAGTTCTCCAGCGTCAAGGTCGAGGAGCAGATTGTCGACTCCATGGTCTACAAGCTCTTCCGCCAGCCCGAGGACTACGACGTCATCGTCGCCCCCAACCTGTACGGCGACATCCTCTCTGACGGCGCCGCCGCCCTCGTCGGTTCTCTTGGTCTCGTCCCCAGCGCCAACGTCGGTGAGGGTTTCGCCATGGGCGAGCCCTGCCACGGCTCTGCCCCTGACATCCAGGGCATGGACATTGCCAACCCCATCGCCACCCTTCGCAGCGCTGCCGTGATGCTCGAGTTCCTGAACGAGGAGGCTGCCGCCGCCAAGATCTACGCCGCTGTTGACGCCAACCTGGAGGAGGGCAAGCTCCTCACCCCTGATCTCGGTGGCTCTGCCAAGACCAGCGAGGTTGTCGCCGACGTTCTCCGTAGAATGTAAGGTGTCGTGTTGACATAAAATTTGGAATGAGGCAACTTCCGTGACTGGATATGGCAGTCGGCGCAGGCAGCTGCGTCTTTGATACCTACCATATTACTAAAAGTACTTGTTTGACCTAGCAACTCTGGGTACTCATCGCTCTTTCCTGCCGTGCAATGAGTGAAATTTCTCTTCCGTAGACCTTGCGCGCATGCTCCTGCTTAAACACACGGTCCAAAAGGTCATTGCTCAGAATTTCCTCCCAGCAACCCTACAAATGCCAGCCATCGCCACTAGCATGAGCTTCGTGGCCTCTTACGCTTCCATCATC